TTTATTCGATAGATATTAATAACATATTTACTTAAATCTAAGTTCATTGAAATAGAATAAGCAATTGTTTTCAGAAACTACAATTTTAAAAAGGCATAAAAACGTATATTTGGTTGTTTAATAAGTTTGTACACTGCAAATCCAAATATATCTTTGACACATATAAACGTGTAATTTATAATCGAAATATAAGAATTGTAGTTAGGAGAACAAAAGAAAATATGCTTGAGACTAAAGATAATTATAACTTCAGTGATATTAAATATTTTTTTCTCTCAATATATAGTAATAGATATTTGATAATAAAAAAATTATATATCGTGAATTCACTTATTACTGAGAAATTATCGATGGATTCATATACGACATCATCATGATAGAAATGTTACAAATTTTTATTTTAGCAGTTGAGTCTAGAAAGCAAGTTTCTGAGCATTATATTCCGCAACGAGAGTCAAGTTTATCCTGACGAGGCACATGCAACGACAAATGCAACATATTTTATCGAACGTAATAAATTGTGCTCTCGACGAACGAAATCGGCAAGAGCGAAGTCGAGTTTATGTCAGGCCGACGTACATCATTTCGACGCTCCTGAGAGTTTGCTTATACGTTGCTTGAGAAAAAGATAAAGGGAAAAAAAGAAAGAAGCGGGGAATGGTAATCTTGCCAAAGGAACAAGATATGGATATCGAAGGAAAAAAATAGGAACCAAAAAAGCGAGTAGCATGTGTGATGGAAAAGATAAGACGACAGCACGAAACTCAGTAGGTGAGTAGTATCAAATATTGGGCATTCAGTACTTGCAATTTTGACAAACATTGACAATTTTTCTATGCAACAATATAAGAACAACGATATAAAACAAAAAGAAAACTAAAAAAATCTAAACAATTTGAAAACGACTCCAAAAATTGTGCGATTTAATGATCGATTTTGACATTACCTAGTAAAAAATAATTAGTAACAAAATAAATTTTGTTTCTACATGGACACACATACACATAATTATATACAATTATATACAGTGGCATGCAAAAGTTTTGAGCCATAATGTCTTTTTAAGATATATGACAATATATTGATTTGCTCTAAAAATTAATTATATAAAATAGTTGACATAACATTCTTACAAATAATAGTACAGTTACAAAATTTTGAAATTACATAGTTTCTATTTATTTAATCATATAATATTTACATGTTTTCAAAAGTATTGAGCCGTATTCTTGTTGTGACTTTATGAGCCCGGTTTGTTTACGTTTCTTATGAAACTCCTTCGTAAATATTTGCTTTAACTAAGGTTCAGTCTATTGATTACCGCAATGCCGAAACATACAAGCTTTCAGTTACGTGAAGCCGTGATTAAACTTTCTCAACAAGGAAAGGTTTCTCGCGAAATTGCTAATTGCTTTTGCTTATTAATTGATAAAAGTACTGTAAATAGGATTATTGCTAAATATAAGTTGACGAACTCTTTAGCTGATAAACCACGAAACGGTAGACCTCGCAAAACTACAAAGCGCGTCGATAAAATGATTAAAAGAAAGTCGATAGCAGATATTATAAAAACTGCCATGGATATTTCTCGAGAACTACGAGAAGAAAATCTTGCTAATGTTAGTCAAAGTACAATATCTCGACGTCTAAAGGAAGTAGGACTTTTAGGACGTGCTAGTGTAAAAAAACCATTAATTAGTGCAAAAAATAAGAAAGCTCGATTAGATTTTTCAAGGAAATTTGAACATTGGACTGAAGTTGATTGGCGAAAAGTACTTTTTTCTGACGAGTCAAAGTTTCAGTTATTCGGAAGTGACGATAGAAAGTATACACGACGTCCAACAGGCACAAGATATAACTCAAGATACCAAATTTCTACTGTAAAACATGGTGGAGATAACGTGATGGTTTGGGGATCATTTTCTTATAATGGAGTTGGTCCATTGGTTGAGATCACGGGTACTATGGACGCTACAATGTATCGAGATATATTGACACAGCATATGCTGCCATATGCAACTCGAAACATGCCACGTGATTGGATTTTCCAACAAGATAACGATCCCAAACATTCATCAAAACTAATAAAAAAATTTTTCATCATGAAAAAAATGCGAGTTCTTGACTGGCCCTCGCAATTGCCAGACTTGAATCCTATTGAGCATTTGTGGCAAGAACTCAAACTACGTACAGGAAATAAGAAACACTCCATTAAGGTGAATTGTGGCAAGATTTACAAACTTAATGGTAAAATTTACCTCAAGATCGCATTTCTAATTTAATAACATCAATATCTCGCCGTTGTGCTGCACTGATTGCTTCTAAAGGCATGGCAATAAAGTATTAAGTTTAAAAAAACGTTGACGACATTTTCTGTTATTATTTTTCAATAATATATTTTTCTTATGCATAAGAAAACTTTTTGGCACAATACTTTTGCACTGTTTGTAATAAGACATTATGCGAAAATAAAGTATTTAGAATTATTAAGAGTTTGTAAAGTTTATATAATTGTAGGACAAATAAATACATTTTGTTTATATATATGTGTAAAGTTTTTAGCGCTCATTATGAAATGAATATATAATAATAATTGTGTGGCTCAAAAGTTTTGCACGCCACTGTATGTCTATAGGGAAAAATACTGTTGTGCAAATAGCATTGAAATAATTATTTATGTTTACTATAGACTATGATGAAGATGTATAATTGAATGACACCATTTTTTTCTTTTCTTCATTTAACAACGTATGAACATATATAATTTTATATAATTATATAAAGACATTCATATATGAATCACACATAATTATACAGGGTGGCCCACATATGTAACTCTTAACAGTTAAATATTTCAGAAACTATTTGTCAAATCTAAAAGTTGTTCATGAGAAAGTTTTATGTATTCGAGAGGCCTTTCTAACTACATAAATATTAAATTACTCCCTGCCTCCCTTAAAGGGAGGCAGGGGATAACTTCGCAATTTCAAACGGGACCCCCTATAAAATGTTAGATGATTGGGTTCTACGGTAAAAAACAAGTAAATTTTCTTCAAAACATTTTTTGTCAGATGCTCCTGTTAAAAGATATGACGGTGTAAAGTTTCGAAGTTACAGGAAACATAAAAGCGTCGCGTATCCTTTCGTCTTTCGTCGGTGATTCAAACGTAAACAAACATTCATACATTCATTGAGGTCAATTTAACTATTCATGAAAATCTTGTCAGTTGTATGTTACTATTCAAAAAGTTAGCACTGTGAAAATCATAGCTATCACTATGTTTGATACAGAAGTGAATATGTTATTAGTATTAGGTGAATGCCAAAAGAATTATCGGCGTGCAGCAGTAATGTTTTTTGAACATTATGGGATTAAAAAATCGCACGTGTCATTTTTTAATGTAGAAAAGCGGCTTCGTGAACATGATAAATTGCGTACAACAACTCACAATAAACGTAAAAGTATTACTAATGAGAGAAACAGTGCTGATATTCTTGGTGCAAAGAAACATCTGACAAAAAAATGTTTTGAACAAAATTTACTTGTTTTTTACCGTAGAGCCCAACCATCTAACATTTTATAGGGGGTTCCGTTTGAAATTATGAAGTTACCCCCTGCCCTCCTTTAAGGGGGGCAGGGAGTAACTTAATATTTATGTAGTTAGAAAGGCCTCTCGAATATATAAAACTTTCTCATGAACAACTTTTTGATTTAACAAGTAGTTTCCGAAATATTCAGCTGTTAAGAGTTATGTAGGCCACCCTGTATATAATTATACATAATTATATATGATTTTATATAATTTATATAATTTTTTTTTATCGAGTAGAGTTGTCAAACTCTCAGATTCCAGCTGTGGACAATTTGGATTTTACCGACAATGTCCAGCTGTCTAGATCATATTAAAAATGTCCGGATTATTAACTAATCCTTATCTATTGATATATTCTGAAAACCATATTTTTACAACTTACATATTTCCAGTTTCTTTTTTTTCTTGAAGTTTGTCCAGGTTCAGGTTTCTCAATTTTCAAATCTAGCAACCCTACTTAACATTAATACGATTTATATCACACATCACGTGTGATCAATCCTATAAGCGGAAGACAGCACATCGATGAGATTTCCAATATCATTCGTAAGAAGTAACTTTCTCTTTCCTCTTACCAGATCTCTCCGGCAAAGTCGACGATCCGATGACCGATAACGAGGCCAGGCAAAAAAGAAGAAGCATCGACCGCGGAAAGCGTCGGATTAATTACCGCGGTCTCTTTCTATCCGTCTCCAGGTAAACAGCAACCCTGGCGGCCGCACGCCAATGGAAACGTGGTGGGATATAGGAGTAAACGAAGAGGTCGGTCAGTGGTGATGAAAGACAGAGAGAGAGAGAGAGAGAGAGAGAGAGAGAGAGAGAGAGAGAGAGAGAGAGAGAGAGAGAGAGAGAGAGAGAGAGGGCGGTGAGGGTGAGAGAGGAAAGGAAGGAGAGAGAGAAAGAGAAAGTAGATGAGTGGGATGGTCGAGGAAGCTACCCTACCCTGTATCTATCCCGACACCGAGTGGTAGCCAGCGGCGAGGGGTAGTTTTCGTGAGCGTTTCCGCCAGCGGGCGGAAAGCGGCTGCGAATGCTAATGAGCGTCGGTTTGGGGATGCGGAGAGAGAACGCCTGCCTCCGAAAAGGGATCGCGGGGATCGGATCTAACCGCCGCGACTCTGCGGGGAGGGGGGTGTGTGAAGGAGGGAGGAGGTAGCGAAAGGGCGCAGTGTGAAGGGAGACAGGCGCGCAATAGGGTCGGATAGGCGGTTACCATCACGCCCATTTGAAAGCGCATTGGCTGGCGGCCGAATGGCGTCCTCGAGCGACGCGTGGCGTCGCGACGCCGACGTCGGCACGACGGCCACCTACGTGCGTCCCCCGACACGACGGTGGGCTCTGGACGGCGAACAGCCGTCGGTGCCGAGGTCGCGCGCGACGTCGCGCGCGGGAGTTCCTCCGGTGAGGATGGAGCAGCTTGCCCAGTTTGTCTCTAAAAGCTTCGACAATAACGCGACTGTGGCGACCGGCGGCGGCGGCGGCGGCGGCGGCGGCGTCGAGGCCGGCTGCAGGACCGCCGGTGGCAGGATCACTCTTAGTGTCGCGCACCTCATCGGCGATGCCGCGGACGACGTCGATCGGCGTATGTGCGCGAAATCTCTTATCGGTACTGCTTTAGCGATGTGTGTGATTCTCTCCGCTCGCTACCGCGGTACCGTCCGGTGTTTGACGACATATGTGTTATTATTGTGCGGATCGAGTCGGCCTGAAATCGACCGTTCAGATGCAATGTGTGCGCGCGATACTCATAGATCGCGACATTGGCTGTACACCGGAAGTACTGACTCGACAAGACGTTTCTTTATCGTGTCAGGTTGATTCGTATGTGTGATCTTGCCTCTGTGTGATTAATGTCACCAGATAATAATTGTGAATACGTTGCGACGCGCATAAGGCCGAGAATCAATTCGTAGTGGAAGTTACGTTAGATTTTATACACGTGCGTCCTTCGCACTACTCGACACTTGCGTTCCGTCATGATGACGTATAAATCAAGGCGACGTCAGTGAAGTGTAATCGTTTACATATCTTCTTCGTCATATTTCACGTTTTTATTCTAACGCACGATATGCAACTGAAACGCAACAGAGAAATCAAATTAATTGGACAAATGCAATAAGTTAATAAGATAACATAAATTAGCAGCATATGCATCTATTTTATCTGTTTCTATTCTTCTATTTCATTTTATTTCATGATCCTGTGTCAGTCAGCTTGATCAGGACTGGCAAGAAACGTGTAAAGAAAGTTTCAGCCAATTATACGTTTATGCGTGTCAACAGTTGGATTTGCAGTGTACGTTCACTAGTGACTTTAACGATTGAACAGAAATTGATGATACTAATGAGTTCTGGTATACAGTTAAGTTTTACTTACAGATTATTTTTAGCGGTTGTAAAGATTTTTCGTAACACTTGAAATTGGAGAGAGAAAATATAGAAATTAATTTTTATGAAAAAAAAGAATATATAAAACTACTTTGAGACATTTATACTTATATGCAATTATAGATCTTTAGAATTGTATAGATATTGAAAAGGAAAGTATGTTTTCTTCGCTGTTATATATTATTCTGCATTCAATTGACAATTATAATCAGACTGTGAATTTGGTTATTCACCGTATTCAGAATTAAGATATTAATGATACTATCATCGTCCAGTAGCTTTGAGACGTGTTGTTGTTGATACGTGTTGTGTGAGAATACACTGAGTTGATACATTAGGATAATGTATCAACATTATGCCATATATGTCTCTTCCTTTCTTATTCATTTCTCACATTTACATCCGCAAATTCAAGTGTGTTGTTTTTACACGCGTAAATGTCTAAAAATAACGCTATTGACTGGAACTTTTTCTCATACGTTTCTTGCCGTTTTATGTCATGCCATTTAACACGTTTAAAGTCAACTTCTGTTCTTAAAGAATTATAAACACTCTTGTCAATTTTCCTCTTAATGAAGATACTAATGGCAACGATCTACCTACGAGTCGACCTGATTGCCGACGTCCCCCGATTGCGGATTTAACGCGCGCGCGTGTATCTCGTGATCTCGACGATGGTTCTCCGCGCGTCAGAGAATACAAAGTGAAATCCTGTTTAGATGAAGGCGCGTTGGCGCGCGAAGGCGCGCAAGAGACGGCTGCTGGTGTCGAAGCGAGCGGCGGGACCGTCGAAGAGCCGCCGCCGTCGCCGGAAGGTCGGTTACAACCGGAGGATCTCTCCGTCACGGCCAAGATCAAGGACATGAGGGACACTGCGGATAGCCTGCCACCCCTGAAGACGCCTGAGCTGAAGCTATCAGTGCGAAAGCTGTTGGGATGCACCCCCTCACCGCCGCCTATATCGAGGGATCGATCGCCCAGTCCGGAGAACTGCATCGAATTGAAAAGTCAAAGCTCGAGTGACGGCAAAATCATCCCCAACGACGTCAAGGTGTCTTCGCAGGTCTCAAGGTCAAGCGGGCAGTGTCAAGAGGATTCCACCAAGGGTGAGTGTCTTGAATTTCTATCAATTCAATGTTGCTGAATGAAACTTCATTTTATGCTAAGATGATTATCAAACTGTGTGATGGTACATTGTAGAGATAGTATTATTCGATGTACTCAAAGCTATATATATATATATATATAATTCGACATTTGAAATTGAAATTCAAAGTTCTCCGAATAATTCGATTTCGAGACACGTCGAAGCTCCTAATCTTGTATTTATACATTATATTTTTATTTAATATTGTATGCGTTCACAAACTCTCAGAATTTTGAATATTCAGATATTCGAATTTTCGAGTGTTCGCGAATATTCATACTTAAAAGTTTCGTTATTCGAATATAGTGCCTTGAAGCTTTAGAAATTTGAAGTTTTGAAGGACCGAAGATTCAAATATAATTTATAGCCCTGATACATTGTACGATGATACACGAGGAGAAAAGCAATAAATCCTTTTTATATAAATTCTTTTCAACTAAATTACGTTTTCTAACAACGAACAGAAATAAAATGTCAGCAAAATTTATTGCTAAGGAGCAAAGTAAACTTTTTAATAGCGGATTCTAGTTTTTAAAATATAAAGATAACACGTACGAAACGAAAGGATAATAAATTAAGACGAAACGTCGATATCTTTTTGTGGGTTGCAGAATTCTATAGTAATTTTGTTTATAAAATTCTCTTTGTGCAATATATATATATATATATATGTATACATAGAATAGTTTAGAAGAAAGATCCCGTATATTTCTAGAATGATATATCTTGTGTTATCAAAATTACCTTAGAATGAAATGCAGAATATCTCGTCAAATATTTAAATATTTATTCCATTTAAACAAAGAAAAGAAAGGGTAAATAGATTATTGATACTCACTGAGTAAATATTATTTCATGTTTAAGATATTTATGGCGTAAGAACTTGTTCGCATTACTGAAACAATAATCACTTGCACTTTTCAAAAGTTACCTCGATTTTCGATGAAAAATGAAAAGTTTGGCTCAGAAGTGTCCGATCCGCAACTCACGATGATGGTGCCAATCTCGATCTCGCCCTTTAGAGTTATGTTGGTTCGTGATTGCCGCGCGAACGAGTAGTGTACGAAGGTCAGGAACCTTCGAGGCGGAGTCGCAGTAGCCGCAGGGGCTCCGGTCTTCGTTTATAATTCAGGCCGTCGTCCAATAAAGCTCAGAAGTGATTGGCAATAGCTGACCACTTGCCCCACGTAACGATCGGCGACCCGCGATCTTGCTTATCGAAGTCGAGTCATCTTCGATAACACTTGCTCCGTCAAGCACTGAAAGATGAAATTACGTCGATTCCCTTGGCATTATCTCGAGGAGAATCCCCGTCGAAGGGAAAACGCCACTATTCAAAAAGTTCATTCGAGAAGGGCGCAAGAGTGTCTTTTTCAAATGCATCTTTGCAACGCAACGCTGTACAGCACAAGGTTGTAAACGGGGCGTCTTAAAAATGTCTGAAGAAAGTTACAAGGAAAATAAGACATCTCTTGAGAATTTCTTTCGAGCAGCTTGTAGAAATTCATGGTTATAGCCTGTCAGGAGCGTTTTTCAGAAATGTATCTTTACGCTTTGATTCCTGGCGCGAAAAACACGATTGTTTTTTATCTGCAATTTCTATCTTGGGAGATTTAAACAACAAATCGTTTCAGCTCGGAAATTTCGTTCCATGGTCGAAAAAAGAGATTAGACATTAATCACAACGACATTAATCTGCAATTACCTCGCAAATATCAAATAATCCTGATCCTCAAACGTGACCCCAAAAGCTGTATCGGGCAATCTTGCAAATGAAGTTTTTCAATGAACGAGTCGGACAATCGCGTTAGCGAGTCGACCAATCGGCCGCTCATACCCGGTGCAAAAGCGCGAGCAACTTGCGTGAGATTGAACGGACGAACGAACGAAGCAGAGAACGAGATCGAACGGCGATCGCGTTATAAAAAGTAGCGAGCGGCGTTGAAGTAACGCCACGCACGCTTCCCTGCGCGATAACTCGAGGCAGTGAGCGGCCAGAGCGAGAGCGTACCATGAATTTATGGTTTAATATGCGGCCCGCCGCGTTAGTTGTGTGTACGCCCTCTAAACGGGGGATGCTCGACGGCGGTGGCTGCATCGGCGGCGGCGGCGGCGGCGGCGGCGGCAATGGTAGCAGCAGCTCGCCCATCTCTCGAGGGTCCATAACTTTTTCCGATTAAGCGCAAATCAAAAAGCAATCTGCCGGGCCGGCAGCCATCGTGGCCGCGAAAGTAAAATCGTAAATATCCGCGAGTAGGGAAGAAGAGCTCGCTCCCGCGGATGCGCGTCGTAGTTGGGATCGAAGGACGGCCGAGAGGGTGTATGTGTGTATGGTGACAGCGATAAATAATGTGATTGCTCTCGATTATCATTGTAAAAAACGGCAGGCGTTTAGCAGCGTTCGCTGCTACCACGGCTTTGTATTTGTTGTTTTATGCGATAGTGTAAAAGTTCAAGCTTAATTTGTTTATGTGGGCATGGAATGGAAAATTCCATTCGGCTGCTGGCGAACATGTCAATCTCTTTTCAGGCTGACAAATTTTTATTAAAATCAGAAGAGAATTATTTGATTTTTTAATGCGAGTATCTGTGCCGATCTTGCGATGAGATTTTCCGTGGGATTTTCTGGCAAATACTCATTCATAGGATTCTACGGCTGACAAATTTATTCCTGAGACGGAATATTCACCTCGCGGGGTCGTATCTTAAATAAAGTCCGCTCCGTAACAAGAGAATGCGATAATCAGAATAATAATTAATATAACAGTTATTATTCGGATTATCGCTGTGTTTCGAATTATTACAATCAAAATTATCGGCTTATAATAATTATTACTCTAATTATCGCGTTATTTCAAATTGTGTTCGATCACATGGACGAATTCGCGTGTTAATACGCAAAGTATACAGAAGCTTTATAAATAGCTTTACCCGATATTCCACCGTGCGATATTACGAGTTGTGTAGTTTCCCGAGACGAGACGACCGCGTATCCCGGACTTGCGATACTCTGATCGCACACTCCGTCGACGATTTAGCGTCGCGTTCGCGCCCATCGGTCTTCGGTCGCGTGTGTTTTCCCGCGATTGCCCGTAAGTGTTGGTGTTTGACCGCTGGTCAAAGGCCCATGTGCGCCTCGTATATTTATGGTACTTGGGGTGAGAGTTTTCTTGAAGTATGATAGTGGGGAGAGTGCCGAGCCGCGCCGCTACTTTAGAAAAAATGAGAGAGCCGCCCTCCGTATTTACCGAGAAGACGCAGAAGCGCCAAAGCTCTCGATTTTCTCGCTTGTACGCTGTCATATAAATCGTGGCTGTAAAGCATATATTCGCGGCGGTCTTTACATCCGGGTAAATATAGCGCTATTATCGGCACTATACGAGCAGAGATGAAATGGAGGAAATGGAGGAATGGAGGTGCGCGTGTATTCCGCGCATTATTATCTTGATCCATGCGGAACAAAGCGCATTGAATGCGCATGAAGCTCTTAGATCTCTAATCAATGCAACATGAAAGAGCTAATGAGAGCCACCGCAAGTTTCAAGTTGTGTTTATAAGGATAAGGTCCAAAAGTCGACTAGCATTTTGAATTTCCTACAGCTCCAGTACAATTTGCAAAAAGAATTTAAAGCATATATTACACTGAGAAAAAATTGTATTAAAATTAAACAAATATTCGTTCGAATACGACTGTGAATACATTTATTTAAATTAAGCAATTATTTTCTAAAATTCAAGAGAAAAGTTCATTCATTCAGAACCTCTGTATTTCATTTTAGAAATTAAATTAGTCGCTTAATTTGCACAAATGTATTCACAGTCGTATTCGAGCAAATATTTGTTTAATTTTAATACAATTTCTTCTCAGTGTACTTAAGTGGAATGTTACTTGATAAAATTATTTATTTTCTAGGTCGACTTTTGGGCTCCCCTGTGTTTCCGTCCTCGATCATTCGGATGTAACAATCACTGACGTAACAAGGAGTTAAATTCGTTGCACGTCAGTACGCTCGGTGTAGGAGCGACTTTGCTTCATTAAACGATAAGTGATTGCGAGAGATCTTAGGTTCACCCTGTCTTGCCAAACGGAGCCCTTCGTCCTTATGTATTCACGGGACCGTGCGCCATATGCAGCGTCCGCGTGGGATACGACGACGCTTTTATACGCCTAATGGCAGCGATATCTCGATAGCTCGTTTTGGAGGGAGAAAAATAGTAGTAGCCAAGTCGGCGGCCAGGGGTGGCTCGCCCAGGGTGGCTTAACTGGATCAGGCCAAGAGGGCAGCGCTCTTAGTAATCGAATTAGTGACCCCTCGCGTCCGAGTGTGATTGCTTTGGGTTTTCCAGCAGGCGAGGAGTCCTTCTCTCGCTCCCTCGCCTCTTTGTCCACCGTGGAATCTCTTTCTCGTGAGAGAGCCGTTTGAATCTCCGTGAAGTATCGGATAAGGAGTGCGAGAGTTACGATTTCGCACCTCGGTCCGGAACACGCTCGAGCGAATGCGCTCAGGTACTTTTGGCAAGGAAATTTAGGAAGGAGCTGCGTTTTTGCGGGATTTAAAAGATAGGACTCGAGGAATTGTTTTTCGCGCTTTCGAACTTCGCGTGTCGAACTTCGCGTCGACGAGCGGTGCGCGCTTTTTCTTTCCGTGTTACGTCTTCTCGCTCGCCCCTCGCCGAAGTTCCTGCTCTTTTAAAACTTGAATGACCATGTAAAAATTAGATGTATATAATTGACTATAAATATTAATACGTTCGTGGGAGGGGGAGGGGCCATGATGGACTTTATGATATATAAAAGTGTTATGAGACATGTTTTTTAACATTTTTGACAAAAGCCATAATGTTATTTAAGAATATAATCAAAATATTACATTTTATGTTATTTAGCGTATGTAATAAATAAAAATAACAATTATTTTACTCGCGCGATATTCGAGACCTCCGCACTGCGGAGAACTATTAGCGAGGGCAGATTTCTCGTGGCGACAGATCCAGGAAAAAATGTTGCTTCAAAAGGACGCAGGTCAAACGATAGCAACGATTTTACCTGTTTTTACAGAGAGTAACAAGTGTACGACGATGAAACTGCGACGTTAATGACAGTAGTCACGCGGTAAAGATGATATGTCTCTACGACTGTCATAAAGGAAGACGCGCAAAAACCCTGAGAGCGAGCGAAGCGTAAGGGACACTCCGACGATGCTGATTTTCGTCGCCTCCGCGTCTCTCTCCTCCCCTACCCCTTATCCGTCGCGGCACATAACGAGGATAAACGACCGGCACGTCCGGGTTAATGACTGCGACAATGCTCGTACGCGTCGTCCGTGGGTTATGCTAACAGCGAGGATGGAGGGCGGAGGGAGGGGGGGAGCGGCAAGGGCGGCGTCGCAAAACCGCGCAAGTTATTTTGGACGAGAAGGGGTGGTTTTAAACCGCCGTACATATGGATGCGGGCTGCGCGCGCTCTCCGCTAGGGCTGCTAGATTGGATTATGCGGATATGCGTTAATTGATTAAAGCGCCGTACGCGCAATGCCGCATGGCGATCGTCACGCTCGCGCGTGCACGTATGCACGCAGTGCAGCAGACTGCCAAGTGCTTTCCTCGGTGCGGTAATCCCGTCGGATGAATATACGCCTTGCGTCGTTGTCTATTGTTCGCTTGAGAGACGACACCGCGGAATTACACTCGGCGCGACCAAACTGCGCGTTGCGTTTCCCTCATTCCGTTCGTTCATTCGCCTCTGTGCGTGTACACGCTTATATGTCCCGCTCTTGCTCTGTCATCTTACCCGTAAATCTGTTCATTCATTATGTTGTCGCTTCGCGCTCGATAGAGGATCCGAATGATAATTCACAGGACGCTCTTCAGCTCCTCATTTATATTTGAGATTCGTCTCCACCTGTCAGTACGCGAAATTTAAATATGCGACGGCTCAATCTCGCCTTCATTTCCCCTGCCCTGCTCCCACATTGAATTTTTAGATACTCATTGTGTAAATAATTGCGATATCATATCTCGACCTGTTGTGTAAAACTAAATTGTTTTCTAAGTATATTGTTATGTATGCAAGGGTAAACAAACGCCTATGAGAACTCTGTCTCAAGATACAAATTTCTCTCTCTCTCTCTTTCTCTCTCTCTCTCTCTCTCGCTATTCGCGACTCTGTAAAAATTATTAATTTTGTAAAGGCTTGCGCAAAAAGGTAAGGATAACCAGGCTGGGAAGGAGAACGATATAAGACATTCTGGGCCGAAAAACGTTCTCAGGCTGTCGCAGTCGGAGCGGCCGCAAGCATCGCCGCGAGTTAGAGAGACGCTCCCGGATAATTAACGACCATACGATTTAATTAATGGGTGCTTAATGTAAAGTAACTACGGTGCTACGGCTCTTCGAGGTGTTGCCGACGGGAGGTACGGCGAGGAAGTTTCCGCTGCTAGGTAGGGATGACGACGAGTGGGAGGGGAGACAGAGGTGGCGGATTAAGTGTCTCGCGTAAGAGCCCTTGACGAAGGGGATGTGATTTATATAATTTAGCAAAGTGGTGAGCTACACACAGTCTTATACCGGGTCGTTAGTCATCCCCCGCTAGACCTCGCTCTCACCTTAATCACCCTCCTTCGCCTTTCTGCATCTGTCCGATGGAATCTCCCTGGCGAGAGGATTCTCCTCGCTCGATGCTCTCGCTGTTCGTGATCTGCGTGCCAGTCGATGACTTACGATTCTTTTTGCTCGAATCGATTCCAGTATGCAGGAGAGAAGCAACGTTAGTGTAACTGAATTTCCCGGGATTGTTCGGAAACCAAGCGAAAAATCGGTCGTAAAAAGGGAAGAATTTCTGATAGGAGAGAAAAGTTTTGTGAAAGTTCAGAGTGACCTGTGAAACGTATTAATATTTAGAATTAATAGCTCTTGGCTATATCCTCACCGAGTTCTAGTATTGCTGAATATTCAGACGAATGTTTTCAGTCATCGTAACAGAGATATTTGTGTCGCTCGTGTGTGCACTGTCAATTGTATGAATTATTCGACAAAATATTATTTTATTTCTCGTCGCACCGCAATTTTCATACGCATGGAGAGAATCTTCGGTTCGTGTAAGCTCCATGTGCTTTCGGCAAGATATTCGAAATGTGATATACACAGTCTGTCCCAGATCCAATGAGATTGGTCTAAAAAAAATACAAAGCGTTTATTATTTTGATTTTTTATTCTTGTTTATTCAAAATAGTCCCCTTCTGAGTCAATACAGCGCTGGAAACGTTCAACAAATTTTTCGAAACATTTTTTGTACTCATCGGCTGGAATGGCCTTTAGTATGGCGGTCGAAGTCTTTTGGATGACCGGGATGGTATTGAAACGATTTCCTTTCATCGCCAATTTCAGTTTGGGAAATAGCCAGAAGTCACACGGAGCCAAATCAGGTGAATACGGTGGATGATCGATAACAATGATGCCTTTTTTGGTCAAGAATTCACGTACCATGATGGCTTTGTGCGATGGTGCATTATCGTGCAACAAAAACCAACTGCCTGGCTCTCGATATTCCGGTCGAACTCGTCGAATTCTGGCCCACAATCGTTGTAGAACTCCCAGATAATATCTGGGCAGACACACAGCGGTCGCTTCGAAGAACTTCTTTGACTTTCTCGATGTTTTCTTCATTGCGAGTGGTTTTTGGCGGCGGTGCTCGGTCATCGTCTGCAAGGTCCTCACGACCGTCACGGAATCGGCCAAACCAACGGAAAACCTGTGCACGGGACATGCATTCATCCCCGTACACATTTTTTAGCGTTTCGTACGTTTCTGCACCACTTTTACCCAATTTAAAAGTTGGTTTTTCGACCGACGTACACAAAGTGACTTTACATAAAATGTCAAACCACAGTGAAATATCAACCGAATTCGCTCAAATTTTGAGGTTAAGTAGATGAAGGATAGAACATTCACCTACCATCATTCACTCATAGATATCGCTGCGCTAAGAACTTTGATGGAACCAGTCTCATCGTATCTGGGACAGACTGTGTATATTATTCCAGGATTATTACATGGAATAAAAGATGAGATATCTTGTAAAAAGTACACGCCTCTCGACCGTTCACCCGAGAGACGGGAGACGCGTTTGTCTAATGCCATCCAATTAGATCCGCCGCTCTCCTCCGCCTAGCATTTGATTTGAATAGGATTCTCATAAAGTGGCGAGAGATATATGTTGATGGCGCCCAGACTGGAAGAAATGGCCCGTGAACGACTAGCGGAGATCAATTTGGCGGCGGCAGGTCGCGTTACTCGCTTGCTCTGTCTCGCACATGGCAGCGCATTTGTCCCCGCGAATTAATCGTCGCGACGAAAATCTCCGTGTGGCTTTCTCGCGTCATCGTGTTTATGACGATGATTCATAGCGTGTTCGGATTTTCATCTCGCCGGAGATATTTCGATATGATACGTTGATTATCCCAGAGCGTTCCTAAGGTCCTCTGCAATGACTGAGATTTTTCTGCCCAGTTCAGCAAGTATGCCCTACCTGCATACGAAATTCAATCGTACATCAAGGAGCTAACTGTTCTGTAATACTTGTTAATTGCTTTGTAATGATTAGTAGGCTAGTTTGTTCTATAATAACATGTACGATGTGCGTTTGCTTGACAGCGACGATTCACTTGCAGGATCCAGTTGTCGGGGTAACGCGAATGGAAACGGCAAGCAGAGGAGGTCGCGGACAAACTTCACCATCGAGCAACTGGCCGAGCTCGAGAGACTCTTCGACGAGACGCATTATCCCGACGCGTTCATGAGGGAAGAGCTGAGCCAGCGACTCGGCCTCAGCGAGGCCCGAGTGCAAGTCTGGTTCCAAAATCGACGCGCCAAGTGTCGTAAGCATGAGAGCCAATTGCATAAAGGTAATTGCCGATATTGCAAATATTTTGCTTCCTGCAGGGAACTTTTTCGTGAACTTCTTCGGGAATTAACGTGGAAGTCTTATAACTAAACGTCGGAGAAATTTTCAGAATTAACCCTTCGAGGCACGTATTTTTTAGAAAATCCAAATCACATGAAAATTTATATACGGGGGTTTCTGGGGTCGCTGATGACGAATCCGTTATCAGATTTTCAAAATTCAAGATGACGGCCACAAATATGAAAAATCGCGATAATCTGGAATCCGCCATCTTGGAAAATGAATTTTAGAATGTGGACTTCGGATTCGTAATCGGCGACCTCAAAAACTAACCAGAGTACAATTTTAGCTAATTTAATAAAAATTCTATGATCCGCCATCTTGGAAAATTATTTAAATTCTTGTGGAATTTGGACCTCAGATTCGAACCAAAAAACCCTCAAATCTTGATTTTGAGCAAAAAATTCACTCATAGTTCGTGGAAAATGATTTTTTTCTGTAAAAATATGTATTCTTCACACTTTATTTATAATAAATGGGTAACTTATGCAAAACACTTTTCAACCTTTTATGTATGTTCCCATATCATATAAGAAGCTAAAAAACGCAAAAAACCCGATAAGAATTCGTCAAATACAAAATATTTCATGAAAATGAAAATGTGAGAATAAATAGGTGGCAAGTATACTTACCACTATGCCTCAAAGGGTTAAGAGATTTCATTATTTTTGTAGAGAATGCGTGCTTCTTTAGATAGTAATAATAAATGGTAATAATAATAATAAGTAAGAATAAAAGGATATAATTGACGTTGAAGCTAACTCCAACTTTGCTACTTGCGACTACAATTGCACATGAAATATACTTGAAAAAGTCAGGAAAACTTTTTTTTTCTAACGAGTGCTATAGTAACAATAATAAACGACGATAATAATAAATAAGATGAAAATAAATAAACGAATAACTTTGCTGATAGCATTTTCTCTCTGCTATAACTTTGTTATAAAACGACAAAGAGACACCGATGCTAAAAATAGCTTTGATTTTCACGAGATTAAGAATCTTTTTCCACAGTAATTATTACAAACGAAAAAAAGCAACAAACGACTCACTGTACGTTACAGGTGTTGCCGGAAGCATGGTGCTGGCGCCGCGCAGCCCGCCGACCACCTTGGAGCCATGCCGGGTGGCGCCTTACCTACCGGCTTTGAGGCTGCACCCGCCGCCGATGCAGGGAACAGGAGCGGCGAGTGTCACTGTGGGATCGGCCTTCGACCCGGCAGTTCTGCACTACGCAGCGGCCGGCGGTCTCTTCTGTCTGCCGCCACCGCCGCCGCCGCCCCCGACTGCTCCCTCGGCCGGCCATCACCCTCATCCGCTGAGTTTGGCAGCGTCGTTGGCCGCCGCAGCAGCCCGCTCCAAGAACAGCAGCATCGCCGACCTGAGGCTGAAGGCGAGACGGCACCAGGAGGCCTTAGGGCTCGATAGGCCCGCGTAAGGCACTGGCGACGCGTCGTCGTCGTCGTCGTCGTCGTCGTCATCGTCGTCGTCGTCGTCGTCGTCGTCGTCGTCGTCGTCGTCGTGGTCGTCGTCGTCGTCGTCGTCGTCGTCGTCGTCGTCTCAGACGACAAGGACTCAACGTGAAAGGGTGAGGGGTCGAACGAGACGGCGCGGCGCGACGCGGTGAGTACGCAGTCGGTGCTGAAAAGGCATCGATATGTCCAGTCGAGCGACAACTTGCAGCGACGCCGGTGAGGCAACAAATTCAACAGACTGACGGTGTAATCTCCCCGGTGAGTTCGATTTCTGTCGCTGTAGACGCGCTGGGCGAGACTAACCGAGCCGACCGACACTCGCCGCCGTCGTTCGTCGTTGGGGGTTGCTCCGTATGCGAACGAAGCTGGATCTTCTTATCTTCCGTGAGCGACAAATTCGAAGTTTGCCCAATCGAAGTCTTCTTTGCGGCTTCTTTTTAACCTTAGAAAGCTGGCTTTGACCGTCAAAAGAGTCACTTTTACCGTCACGCTAAAAGCCTTCAGTGCCCTGTGTGGCATTTATTTTATCATCCATTGAAATGGATATCGTTGCTTTCTCATGAAATATTATTTGAACGAGTAAAAATTGCTCGTCTTTACCTCTTAAAATGGTATCATAATACTAGAGTTAATAAATAATAGAAGTACCTATTATTAATGCAATCTATCTCTAAGTCGGAGCGGTCGAGATGACAAGTTTTTTGGAGAAATACGTAACGTTATGTAAAGGCAAAAATTATTTCTTCTAATTTTATCCGATGTCCATTAAAAATACAAAATTCATTATTATATAAATTTGAGTAATTTTTACAACAAATTACAAACCTGTCATCTTTGATCGCTGGTAGTAGTTTTAATGTCGAGGCTTTTGGTGTGAGAAAAAGTTACTCGCGCTATCTTTCTGGAGTTAACGAAGTGAAATCTGATTTAAGCGATTGATGAGCGTTCAAATTTCTATCTTAGAAAGACCGCTTGCAGACAGTTGTATCACGTTCATTCAATTCATGGTAATTCGAGTCGCTTTGAACATCATTCGACATCGGGGACTTTCGAAGGAGATCTCGAGAATTTCGAATGTCTCGAGGGTTTCGGGAGTCTCGAATATTTATCTACGTACCGATAATAGATGTATAGTAAAAATTACATAGATATATATGAGGAACATATAGATGTATGGATATAGATATATAGATGTATGGATTATATTTCAAGATTTATAAAACATTCGAGATTTCGTGCGCAAAGCGCTTGAGATGTTCGACGGTCTCTCGAAGTTTTCAGCTTCGAAACGACCCCGAGGCCTTTGTATGTTCCAAGTGACATCGGTGTATCGGTGTAAGCGATACTTTGGGAGCGATTCTTGCTCTCTCGATTCAGCCGCATACGGAGTACGAGAAACGATGCGCATGCCCTTACCCCCTTATCTGCGACGTGCAGCTTAGGCGTCTGAGGAGGAGTACAAAGGTGACTAAAGCGTGTATAAAGTGGAAAGTGGCGGGAAACGTGTAACATACATAATGTATACAGGATCGGGAATCTCGCTTGTATCTCGATTAGCGCGCTCCATGTCGAAGAACTGTGATGCAAGACTCGCGTGACCCAAAGTGTTAGGTCGCGAGAGCTTCACTAGCTCGGTGGGAAGCTTGATCGGCGATCACCAGTGACTAGTCAGGCGACATTAATGTAAAGTTATCGTCAGTAACTTCCGAAACCATTCTTCTCTTTCTTCAAGTTTGCGAGCGCACGTTTGGAGCCGAGATTAACGTAACCTTGTCATAGGGCGCCTTTTAAAGCGCTGCAAATACAAGCGGAACGAGTCGCGAGTGGTACGTGTTGCGAGGCAAAAGTGACAAAAGCTACAGATATTTGTGTTCGCTTGAGAGTTGATTGCAAAATTGCGCTCGCTCTGTCTGTGCTTTCAAGTGCTCGAGTGTTGCAGGAAAGAGATTATGTATAATTATATATGAATTTTGTCTCTGTGTGATCACATAATTATAATGCCCACACGGAGAAAATGCTGTTGTACAAATACAATTAAAGTAACTGCTTGTGTTTGCGGCAGCTCGTAATGTCGACATTTAATCGAAAAAGAGGCTATTTTCTTTTCTCTATTTAATATCATTTTTTTCCGCGTACGTAGACATATATAATTATGTATAATATACATAGCTCTCTATACAGCCACGGATAAAATTCATGTTTATGGGTTGTATATAATTATATATAATTTATACAAAATTATATATATAATTATATAATTTTATGTAATTCTTTTGGCTCGATTGAGGATTACAAGAGTGACACGCATCGATTAGAACTCAGGAGACACCAAGACGCACCAAGATCTCTAATCGATCGCACAAATGTTCGTCTCGCTATTACATTTCAGACACATCAGTCTCTGTCAACGACATTAGTCGACAAGAGAATTGACCAAAAATAGGGACTTGCTCTACTTAGATTTTTAGCATCTCATTTATCGAAGGAGATTACCGAAGCGACCACATCGAATGTCGAACTCAAGGAACATCAAGATTTTTAATTGACCGCTTAAATGTCTATCTGCCCAAATCCAACCATATTGGTCCTCGTCAATGACATTAGCTGACAAAAGGATTGATCAAAAATAGGGAACTCGCTTGACTTGTATTCGACACGTCGTTTATCAGGGATTACCGAAGCGACCATATCAACTAGAAGATTCAAGAAGCATCAAGATCTCTCTAACGGACGACCGCATAAACGTTCATCTCACCTTGGATTTCGGCCACATCAGTTTCTGTCAACGACATTAACTGACGAGGGAATTCAGGATACGTCAAGCCGCGTTGGAACGATACGCGCGCGAGTCACGACGTGCTTCGCGTCGTCACGTCACGTCGCTTCTCTCAATGGGGTTTCGAGCGTTTGCCGAGTGCGCAGTTTTTGTACAGCGGTATTAATCCACGATTGCAATTCGAGTAACACCGGGACGCACCAGGATCACTGACCAACCGCGGTGGAGGGAATTATAGATCGCGCGTCCTGGCAACGACGCGAAAGACATAACTCTCGGAGATGATTCACGGCTGGGTGGACAGACGCCGGACGACTTCTCGCGTCCTCGTCGCGACCGGAGTAAGCGGCGATCGGAGTAAGCGGCGGGGGTTGAGAGTTGGGGGGAGGGGGGGCGGTATACGGGGAAAAGGGAGCAGAAGGTGGCCCGGCCTGGCCTGGCCTGGCCTGGCCTGCAGCCGGGGCGGCCGGCAGCATCGCCGTCGGGACGCTGCTAATGCAATAACGCGCGGCTACGCGGATAAATCAAGCCGGGCGAACCGCCGGGCGAGCACCGTGCCGCCAGGGCCGCGCTGCGTAATCGCGTTACCCCGGTCGTCCCCGGGGCGCCGTTATTGTTCTGCCGAAGTCACGCGCTCGCACTCGTTCTCTCATGTTCTCTCTCTCTCTCTCTCTCTCTCTCTCTCTCTCTCTCTCTCTCTCTCTCTCTCTCTCTCTCTTTCTCTCTTTCTCTCTCTCTCTCTCTCTCTGTCTCTTTCTTGCTTCCGCGGTGCCAACGATGAGGACGAGGAGCGCCGGCGAAAAACGCGTATTCCTCGAACGAGTACGGCGAAGTCGGTCGAATTGAAGTTTGAAGAGTCGAACATCGACTTTATTTTCGACTTGTAAATCTTGCTCTTTGTTGTACTTTTGTTTTTCCTTCTCATGGTATCGCGCGCTATGGAGAAATGCTTGATTTGATCAGCCGGGCTTTTTATTAGAGGATTTTAACATAAGGTGCACCTTGTCGCATTAAGTATTTTCGAAATATAAAAACGTCAGTTTCGAGAATACTCGATTATAATCGATCAATTCTTATAGTACGTTTTATATTTACATTACAATTCGTGGCAATTCGTGTCGTAAATGTCCTTAAACCAAAAGCACACAGAAAAATGTGAGCGGTAAAGCCTGCACTGGAACTACTACTAGAAACGGTTAAAAGTTTTGTAATTTCCTCGAAAAATTATAGAAATCTATGACGACGGCATTTTATTTTCTCGTAACTGACGTTGAAAGAAACCAACCAACGACCAGACCATTTTCTCATCCGGTTGTTGCTCCAGGAACAATCGATTGTGATTCGCCAATTTTTTTATTACTCACCTTTTTTCTATGTGCTTCCGAAACGTGAATTTGTTTTTGATGTTTCTGGACGTTCAATCTTCTTGTGGAAAATGATGAGCAACTTGAAATCTTTCGATTTCTCCGTGAGATATTTTATCGAATTTTATCGAGATTATCCTTGGATGCGCGAGTCTCTCTGATTGTGAGGAGCTTTGAGAGCCTGCAGTTTCGTCCTTTGATTCATGATACTCACAGTATCCTCGACCAAGTTAGTTTCCTGTTAGTCTGAAAAGTTTGCTGTCGCGAAGAGTTATCGCTATATTACATCGTCGCGGTGGAGCATCCAGCGGTGTATTCTGCCGGATAAATCAGGCATGCATCTCCGAGAGTTGTAATCGCGTTAACGCGGATTTATTCCGGCCATCCCCCGGGGGAGTCGTTATCGTCCCATTCGCGTGCATCGACAGGTCGAAGCACGCACGTGCGAAGTGCCGCGCGCGCGCGACCGTCACTCAATTAACGACTTTAATTAAAAAGCTCTGTGTGTGTGTGAGTGAGTCGCGTATGCGCTTCGAGTCCGCGCGTCGAACTTTTTATGGCCGCCGCGGATAGGAAAAAAGCTCGTAATTCGTTCGCTTTACGGTCGCAGAATCGATCGAGCGGTGACCTACGCTCTCGCGAGCTGCATCGAGCGCTCTTACGAGCTACGAATTTTCCGCAACACGATTCGTTAGAATGGTGATTAATTGATCCTTTAATCTCCTGGCGACAGAATGAACGATCTAATAACTCTGTCAACATCCAACCGGGGATTGTCTATTGACAACAAAGTATTTTTACGACACTAATTCGTACAAACAGA